CATAGTTGCTTACATCAAATTAGTTGCTAACAGTGAGAGGTATAACCTGTAACTCTCATGAAATTGAAGATGAATTTCATTTTTTTTTCTTTGTCTATTTTTGTCCATCAAAAGAAATTGTTAATTCCTCCCAGCCAGACTCGGCCCAGTGACAGAAATATGCAATCTTTGACCCATGATAAAAGATATGTGCACAACCTGTACCCCTTCACTATGGAAAATTTAACAAATGAGTATTTTATATGATGTGGGCCAATGGCCTTAAACACTGAACAAACTTGCTTACAAACTAACACCACCTATCCTGTCATTGTTGTTGTTGTTGCTGCTTTTGCTGCTGTTGTTGTTGCCGCTGCTGCTGCTGCTGTTGCTGTTGTTGTCGTTGTCGTTGCTGTTGTTTTTGTTGTTGTTGGTGGTGGTGGTGAGTAAGTAGCAATCTTTCTATTGTTGACTGACTAAACAAATGACTTTTTGTGCTGTTGTCGTTTTTGTTGCTGCGTTAGTGATTGTGTTGTAATGGGGATGGTGATGGTGATGGTGAGTAGTAATGTGTCTCTTTTTGCCTGTTATTAAAAGACCAAAGCAAGGGCTGCTAGTGCTATTGTTGATGTTGCTGCTCTAGTTGTTGTTGCTGTTGTTGTTGTTGTTGTTGTTGCTGTTTTTAAGGTTGCTGGTGTTTTTGTCATTGTTGTTTTTGTTTTTGTTGTTGTTGTTGCTGTTGCTGCTGCTGTGGTTGTTGTTGCTGTTGTTGCTGTTGTTGCTGTTGTTTTTAAAAGTTTACGGGCTTGCCACAACCTGTATAAAAGCACTCGCAGCAAGGTACACTGAACAGCACAGCTGCCAGTACATTATTTATTTATTGACAGTACTTGAACGTGAAATCTCCACTTCATCGTCAGCCCGTACTGATGACACCAGCATGGGGTGGGAAAATGGGATGGGGAGATTTGGACATGAAGGTGGAGGTTGTGGGGCTATGGAGGTTTGGGGGAGGGAGGTGGGGGGCTACGAGAGTGCATTAAGTTGAGGTATGACTCTAAGAGACGTTCTCCGTGGGTGGTTGGCGGTAGCTCTGGTGTGGTTTGCTCTTTCTTTCCTATCAAATTATATCGATCGTCCTTATCTCTCCTCCTTTTTTGTGTTTGTTACTCCCTTGTAATACCTCTAATCTTCGGCACTTATATGACCTAATTGTGATGCAAGTGCCGTAAAACGCTTACTAAAAGTAAAAACGTTCTCTTTGGCTCCTCCTGTGTCGTTCTCTCTCAGTACACGGAAGTCTGGATTCCTCCACTGTCGCCATCTCACGACTTCTCTGTCTCGTTTACAAGCATGCGCACACACTCATACATAACACGGAAATGCAGATATGCTTGTGTGCAATTGTGGACATGTGTGTACATGTACTTATGTGCATGTGTGCGTGTGTGTTTGTGTGTGTGTGTGTGTGTATGTGTGTGTGTGTGTGTGTGTGTGTTTGTGTGGGTATATGTGTGTGTTGTGTTGTGCGTGTGTGTGTGCGTGTGTGCGTGTGTGTGTGTGTGTGTGTGTGTGTGTG